AATAATCGAATTTGGTTTTAACTAAACGGGTAATTTAAGTCCAAAGAAGAGATTTTTTCCTCGTTTCTCGTTTTTATATTAAAACCGGATTGTCATTTGAAAACTTAATTTAAGGTAATTAAATAAATTAAGTTAAGCAAATTACATGACGTGTTTTGTATTAATTTCATAATAAATTATATGATATTAAATTTTACTATTGTGGGTAAAAACACTGTGTAAAATACTAATATTTCTCTCTCTATCTAGGAAGACATTATCTTCTAATAATAGTAAAAAAATTGTAGTAATTGTAAACTGTGGCTTTTATTACTTGCTTACCAAATTACATATTTAAGTAAATGAAAATCTGATTTGTTTCCATCTGTTTAATAATGGAATTTTGTTTTAAACCGAAAGGGTAATTTATGTCAATCCCTTCCAAAATAGAGGTATCTTAACTGTGATAATAATGAAGAGATAAAAATTTCCATATCAGCTCATAAACTATACTATATTGTAGTTTTCAGTTGGAGTTTAAACATTTGAATTGAACAATTGAACAAAAATAACAAAATTGGAGTAAATGTTGGCAGAGTGGTGATAAATAAATGATCAGATAATGTGACGTCTTACTATCGTTTTCTGCATCAGCTCTTGAAATATTTTGTGACAATTGATAGTATACTGATGTATTTGGTATTATTAGACTTAGGATCTAGTTAAAAAAAACAGTACAGTGGGGTCGGGGCATAGTGGAGACGGAGCATAGTTGGGTCGGGGCATAGTGGGGACAGGGAGGTCACAGGTTTATAGGAATTTTTAAATCTGAAAGTGATAAAATCACTTTCAAAAAAACGCTTCAATGCAAATCGGTAGTTAGTATTTTCAAGCCAGTACAGTTCAAACCAAGCACAGTGTAAGCAAAGTTAGAAAGTATTAAATGATCGGTCATTTCAAAAACGACTTAGGACATCGATTTTTCAAAAACGTCTTTTTGTTAAATTTAATAACTATATACTTAGTTACGTATTCTGTGAGAAAACTAAATTTGTCAGACTCATATTTAATACAAATGTTGAGTACAAGAAATTAGAATCACTGCAAAAACTATTTATGAAGTTTCTTGTGGCTAGTGTAAAATTTCAAATTTGTGACTTGTGTCGTTTTTGAAATGACCGATAAAATTACAAAATAGAAGCACGAAAGCGTTTATTTGAAATTTATTTTATTCAATTTTATCGCTTTTATTTATAATAATTCCTGTAGACCTGTGACATCTCCGTCCCTCGTTGCTTTGATTCTATTATGCCTATATTCTACTGTACTTTTTTAAACTCATAAATAATGCAGTATTTGGTATGTATTTAAACATAGAAAAAAAATTAACATCATCCTAATAATTAAGGCTTAATTATTTTAACAGGTAAAACTATGGAGAATGTACGGAACTGCATGAAAATGTCACTCGATTGCAGTTCTGAGGCTTGTTTTAAGAATGTTTTAACCTTTGGAAAACCGGTTCATGTAGGATTTTCTGTATTGAAAATTTCCAAGACTTTGATGTACGATTTTCATAATAATTTAATGAAAAAGTACTATGGATGCGACATAGAACTGATATATTATTATTGACATTTTTTTTAACAATAAGTATAAAGTAAAAAATGATAAAGTAAAACATTTAATATAATAATTACTGTCAGCAAACACATTTGTCTTATAAAAACAGCTAAAACTAATTGTATACCTACATATAAATATGTTTTTGACTATTGGTTATTATTCGGTGGCTAACTCGTAGGTGATTCACTTGGCCCTCTTTCTTGTAGGTCGTTTCTGATCTGACAGATAGCTAGACTTACATTACAGTTAATCAGTACTTAAATACAAAATATTTTTTCGAAATTAGGTATGAATTTTAACATAAATAATAAGTACTATAAACTACTAAATATAGGTACCTGATTTAAAACAAATATTAAATTGTTTTATTGTTTTACAATACAACCCATTTTAACAATTTTAGGTATATAAAAAAAAAATACTTAAATAAAAAGTTTTTGTCAATTGACATGAAATATTTGAAATTATATTTTATATGTAAATAACTAAGTTGTCTTCAACTGTACAAGAGTAAACTGAGCATATAACAATAGTTCTACGATTATTAATTAAGTGTACAAGTGGTAATAATAGACGATGAATACGAGTACAGATCATAAAAACAAAAAAAAAAACATGTATTATTTTGGTATATTTTTATTAAATTAAATGACAGTGTATAAATAAGTATTAAATAGTTTAATATAATTAATATAATTTTTTTCATTATTTTGAAGAGTTAGTAAATAATTATTTATAAAGAAATTTAACTATTATTTTACTTATCACAATATTGACGTTCTTCTTACCAACATGTTTATATATTTGGTGACAGCCTGAATCAAATTTCCATCACTTTGGGACTTTAAGGTTACCATAGTTTAGGGCTCTTTTGAAGTCAGGGAAATACAAAAGGTATTGTCCACCTGATTATCAATACAATATAAATAAAATGATTACATTACTAAAAGTTACTATTAAAATGTTTTATTTTTTAACGCCTAAAAAGCGAAGTATAACATGTTTCAAAAATAGCATTACAGCTTTTAAAGGCTAAAATGTTTACACAGATATATCACAGTTCAGTGATATTTTTCAAACATATTAGGTGTATAAGAAGATTGAAACAAAAAGTAGTATTTAAGTTTTAATATGTTATATTTTGCTACGGAGGTAAACACAATTTAATAAACTATGTTTAACCATACACATAGTTTTGTTATACACGATGTAGGTTTCGATCATAACTTTAGCTTCAGGAAATTTTAATGCAATAAGTATTTTCTTTGTTGATCCAAGACTGAATTACTACCCAAGGTAAACCAAAAAAAAGAATGCATTGATTGCAAGTAAATTGTATTATGATTCGGTTAGGCTAGATATGAAAAATAAACCGAGTGATATAGATATTAGACAATATACATTACTGCTAAACCACAAACATGTTAACAAAACTACGTACCACAAAAGGCAGTTTTGCGGTTAAATTTTAACGAAGTTAATAAACATCACACTTACCATTCCATTCAAAGTGTAGTTTAACATCTAGTTTGGTAGTATACAAGTACCGAACGTCTATCCAAAGTAATTTAAATTATAACGCTATGCTTACAGTACTGTAAAACTGCAATATTATATAATCTAAACCTAAGATACATAAATGCTTTTATTGAAATTTATATTTACCGTGTTCGAATTTTCCGTATTTTTTAAAAAGTCGAACGAGCGTACATTCAAGGTATGTTTCTGTTCCAAAATAGTTAATCGCGTCTTTGAGCAAAATATGGTTTCTACTGTCTGTTTTTGGAATTATGTTCTTAAATAGAGTATATATCGCCTAAACAATTTTTTTTTTTAATCGTACAAAAAAAATCATATAAAACGATTTTGAACAGTAATATATTATTTTACTACCGTAATTTTATCAGATAACAGATCTGGAAAATAATAACTGTTTGTGGCCCTTTTAAAGCCATTAAAATTTAATCGGTATTCTTTATCTGGAAAACAATAGTTTCATAAATATAACGACGAAAAAATAACTAAAAATACTAAAATGTTATACTATAGTGTTCTGTGTTTTACAAAAAGAGCTCAAAGAGTAAAGGGTGAAATGTTAAAAAAAGTATCGTAACATTGTTAATCATGAACGGATTAAACATCTTTATTGTGTATTTTTACTGTTCATGTAAAACATGAACAGTATTGACTTACATAATGAGTATATTTTGTACATTTTATGTGTGTATCAAAAATCCATAAGCGAACCCGAGGCGATTTTACACAAGATAGGCTTTGATCATATATATTTTAGATTCTTAGAAGAATGAATCGCAATAGGTATTAAACAAATAAAAAATGCATTTTTTACCGATTTATTATACTTAACTAAGTCACGCATAGTGTATAGTGTAGATATTTGCATGTACAATTAAATATAGATCGGTTAGTTAAGGTCAGGAATAGGTTATATTCGATTAAAATAATTATTATCCGAAGTAAAGAAGTAGTAATGATTATAATGTAAAAACGCCATCTTAGCTAAAACTGAATTGATTAACACCACCTTACAATTAGATAATTTTACGATTAATAAAAGTAGTGATTCAAAATCATATGCTTACCATGCTTTTCCCCGTAATAACTTGTTATATATTCGAGTTGAGATAAAGGAATTTTTTTTTCATAATATTTAGTTAGTTCCTTGAAAGTAACATATTCTCTCTTCTTGCGTTGTCTTTTTGGAATGATTTTCATAAATTCATTTTTCATCAACTAAAAATGTTTATTAAAGCCGCTAAGTAGGGATTTTCAAAATTGAGAATAATATACTAAACATTTTGACTGGTCGACAACCAGTTTTGTATAACTATTTTTGAAGTTATTGAAGTTTTGAGCTGGAGGAACGGTGAAATCTATCATTTTTTTTCTTCACGCACTTCCCCTTCCGTCCTATCTTTTAAACTTTTATAACTTTGAAAATAGTTGTTCAAAATTGGTTATCAACCATTTTAAATCGTTAATACATTTTTCTCAATTTATTAAGTTGAAATGAATGATGAAATGGATGCGTTACCATTTAAGTTTATTAAGCTGTTATCAAAAAAACTAAGTTTAGAGGATGGTAAAAACAAAAAAAAAATGTGAAAAATTGAGGTCACATAGGAGAATAACAATAGAAAAAAAATTTAATTTCTTATTAAACCCTATGAGATATCGAGTGGTTCACGTTAAATGATTATCTAGTTTATTGGTAATCATAAACTTGGTCCTAACAATATATTATTTTAACGACTTACAGTTAAGCATTTATCGGTTTAACAGCATCGTTCATTTTTTTTTTTAAATTCAAATTAAACTGATTTACCACCAGTTAAATCCGTTACCACCCCAATTATTAAAAACATTTTTAAATATTACATTACCTTCTCGCCGTATCTTGGTACGAGTCCCATAGACCCGATCTCCTTAAATTTATCAATTTCCATTCTATATTCGTGTATATAGCCCTCGCTGTCAACTATCGTAAAGCGTATTGTTATTAATTATACATAATTTGAGTTATTTTTTTTTTGTTAAGCCGTTAACTGCTAATTAAATATAGCATCATGCTTACGGTCATGTGCGGTTCCATACTCCCTCGTCGTGTTTGCGAATTCATGGTGGTCATAGTCTTCGAAGTAACAGCACATGTCACTGTAAGAAACATAGTCTCTAGTTTTCATTGTGTGAAATAGATATTCTATTTCCTAAAAAATAGTAATAAAACAATATAATAAGTGATTCATATTTTAGCTTCGACGAGGAACTGAGAAGGTATTGTTTTTGAAATTATGATTTTTTTTTCTGTCTAGACTCTAGGACCCACGATAAGTTATGTTCATATTTTGAGGTGTCTGCGAAACAGCTGATGTAGCCTTGTCTTAGTTTGGCACAAGAAATACAAAGAGGGAGAGGAATGGTTCTTAAACATGCATGTAAAATATGTACATGTTCGAACTAAATATCCCTGGGTATAGGCGCACTTATTAAGTGTATCCTTATTAATAGCTAATATAAATAAAAACAAACAAAATGTACCGTCTGAAATGCAATTACATCACGCACAGGTTTTGGAAGGACACCCATGTTTATGGCTTTTTTAAACTCAAGGAATGTTAATCGAAATGATCTACCTGAAAACCACCAACAATAAATTACTAGAAATAGAACAAAAATAATTAATAAATATTAAACTCTTTTATAGTTTTACAACAAAACTGAGAACATTTTTTAAATATTTCAATAATATCCTGAAAGTTTGGGCTGATAAGCGTTTTCATTAGTATTTTCTCTATATTTTTAAACATTGAAGTGAAATACATAATTGTATAGTCTATACTAATTGGCAATATTGCAAAAACAGTTGTTTCTTCATTAATTAGATTAAGTTGTGTTGCTATCGGTTACAGTGGCGTATTTATGGGGGAGGGGTCCATGGGATCCGGACCCCTCCCCCCATGGTCCCATTGATATTTAATATAAACATGTGAAATTTTGTTTTTTATGTTATTATTAATAATTAATTTGAAAAAACATTTTTTTTAATCATAATTGTTGGATATTGAGGTGTGTATGTACGTGGATCAAGACAAAATATAAGAATTAAACACAAGTTGTATAGTAATCATAAAATAGTACTGCTGATAGTAGCAAAAATGTGAAAAGATCACGTGATGACGACCATTCGCAAAATGTAAATAAAAAATTAAACACTCAGGTATGTTAATATAATTTACAATAATTAAATATAATAATAACAATTTAAAAGGCTGTGTGCAACAAGATGGGTCCAGAAATATGAGTCATTAAACGATTTTGTTGAGTTGTTACCATTTGTAGTCAAAACACTTGAAACAATTTATTCTACATGGGGTGCACCATCTTCTATAGATGCTAATATTTTATTAAAAATTGTATTGGATTCTGAGTTTCTTATTTCTTTATATGTTACAAAGGTAAATTCTAATTTTTAAACATTAACACAAAGAAATATATTTTAGACTTTTTTTCCTTTGGACTGCCTGTCTGTAAAAAACTACAGAAAAAACGCATTGATTTAAAAAATACTTTAAATACAATTGAGTTATTAGTAAATACTTTAAAAGAAATGAAACAGGATGCAGAAAAAGAATTTCATCTTTTATATGACAAAGTAGAAGTATGTGATATAAGCCTTATTTTCATGTAGTAAAACATAGAGTATTATTAATTTTTAATATTTTAATAGAGTTTAGCAAATGCTAATGGCACAAAAATATCTAAGAAACGAACAGCAAGAAAACAATCAAATAGAGCAAATCCCCAAGTTTCTTATGTAGAAGAGTACTATAGAGTGACAGTGTTTATGCCGTTTGTAGACAATTTTATCAGCCAACTTACTAATCGTTTTTTAAACCATAAATCAGTTTTTGATAGCTATTGTTTTATCTATGTATTATAAAAAATCGGTAATAAATATGTTTTATTAAAATTATTTGAAGGGTTTGAATGTTTATTTACTTCAACTTTTACTGATGAAGAAAGGTTGGCATTTGAAAATTTAGTTGAGTTTTGCTGTGAAAATTATCTGGACCTCCCAGGAAAAATTCCTAATTACACCTCTGGTTTGATAATAAAAAAAACAATTAAAATAGTAATACAATACTGTCAAATCATCTTAGCTAAAACTATATAAACACCCAAGTTTATTTTACGATTATAAAAGTAGGTACTAAAATTCATATCTACCTACCAAACACTGATTTTTTTCTGTAGGTCTTAAAATATATGCGTTGATGTAAAGGAATTATTGATCCATAGTATTTAGCCATGTCTTTAAGGGTAACATGTTTTTTGTTGGTTCGTTTGTGTGCGAACCAAAGAATTTCTTTGAAGACAGTAATCATCGCCTAGAAATTGTTTTTTTAAAAGTTACACAAAATTATTATAAAACAACTTTTACCAGTATGAAACTATAAAGCACATAGAATAAAGTTATAACGTCATAATAGTTTTGACATCACCTGTGTAGAACATATTTGTATGTAGCCTTGAGACGCAGCTCTTGCAAATTCGTCAAAACACATTATGTATTCAGGTTTAGTGTCACCTAGAAACCATCACATTATAGCAAAAGAAAATCAAGCACAGTGATATCATTTTATATTGGGAATGGACCATACTAGGATTGAGGAGGTCACGGGTCTTCAGAAACCCTAATCACCGAATATGATAAAAATCCCTTTCAAATACATACAAGAAGAGTTTTTTATTGCAATAAAACCATTCCGTAGTTATTGATGGTTTAATTGAATTTTGAGATTGTAAAATAAATCGGTAGAACAAATCGTAAGCAAGTACAAAGTTGTCGTTGGTCCAATCCAAGTTCATGTTACCTTTTATAAAACGTTTACCGTTGTTTTCAAACCATATATTTTTAACATTAAAAATTTCATACTTGATCGATCTGTCTGAAAAACTACTATAACGATCATATTTCACCTGGTTGTAGGTAGAGGTACGGTCGCACACATAGGACAATGCACGTCATGCTGCACATAATTATAAGTTGACTTTACCATCGCGGATCGCCAACAGTGTTGGGAAAAGATAACTATAAAGTTATCTAGATAAGATAACGGATAATTGAGTAATATATCTTCTAGATAAGATATTAAATTATTCATTTAACATTTATTTAGCTAAAAGATAAAGATAAATACAATTTTATCTAGATGAAAAATAGATAAATTAAATTTTAACCTTCATAAAATGTTATACGAAAATGTATGAGTTAAACAAAGTATTTTCACAGATTACAGAATAATTTAATAACCAATAAGACGTAGGTACTAAGAAATGGACAGTTACGTCAAAGAGCAAATTTTCCTTATATTAGATTTCGTGATTTATGGCTACTCTGTTCATTTGTCATTTATTATTTTCATGTACTCTGTTTATGTCATCTTTTATGTAGGCAACAGTAATAGTATAAATAGGTATAAAAAGTAAATACGAGTTTATCAAACTCGATAATCGATGACGGGACATTTCATTATCGGTTGAAACTATTTATAAACATATTGTTCTTTTTTGAGGCTTAACTATCGTTTTGGCCACATACGGTCTACGGACTACGGAGAGCCCACATTATGTTTAAAATGTTTATTACAAGGTTTTGTTATTTTATTTTGATTGAAAATACAAATAACTTTTTGGAAACGGCTCATTGTTTATTGGACTTGTATTACTATTTACTATTTTACTTTTATGTTCTTTACTCTTTACCCTATATGTAGTTACTGATACAGGACTCGCCTGACATGTATATATATTTGTAAAATATAATTTATAACCATTCTGCTCAAATAAACACCTGCACTTTCGACCATTTTTTTTGTTGGGATTTTGGTCAATGTTAATCTTGAAATTATTATCGTAAAAATTCTTATAAACACGTTTTATATAGCACTAGTAATTATTTCGAGAGTACTGGGAAAAAAATTAACAACATTAAATAAAAACTGAGCACTGTAGTCGAGAACTACGAATATAAATAATAAATTATACGATAATACATATATAACTCTTATCTACTTCTACCTATTAAAAATAGGTAAAAGACGTTTTGTATAATCGACTAAAATACATTGGATTACAATGGAATATTGGACTTGTCTAACAAGCCAACCCCAATGTATTAATAATATATTCTTATATCACTAATCACTATTCATTAGGACCTAGGTATATTAATATTTTTAGGCTAGGACTGCATTATACGTTTCGTCGGATCCCAAAACCTGTTTTTGTAAAACCCACGAATAAATAACTTAAAAAATAGTTACAATTTCTATCTAGATTAATTACCTCAGATAACCGATTTGTTTATCTAAATAAGATAATAAGATGATTTACTTTTTTTTATCTAGATAAGATGTTAATTACAATTTTTTATCTAGATAATTCCCAACACTGATCGCCAATACCCTCGACCTTGTGTCCAATATTTTTGTCCTAGTTCGTCTGTCCATTCCCTTAACATGCATTCCATTTGGACTTCAGCACTACCATAATCGATATAGAACACACTGTCCGTGTCCTATACGACAGCTTTACCCAACTTATTAAGCATATCATACAACCAACGTCTTACGTCGAATGTTGTGAATTCAGCAATATAGACGTTTGAGTTATAATTGGTTTTTATATACTCCTTAGTATTTTTATATGATACTTCAATCACGTCATCATTCAAAAATACTGAAGTATAAACAACTTCTGTTTTATCATCCAATAGAAATCTCTGTTTTGGTTAAGTGAGATTTTTGACCGAACTTTCCCCAAAAAAAGTTCAAACACATTTTTGCAACGGATGTCAACCCTGGATTTTCTTATATGTTGTTTATGTCAAAGTCGATACCCATCGCTTCCTCGACAGACTTTATATATTCCTCGATTGTTTTGTAATCATGTTTTCATGGGCTTGCATCTAGTTCCAATTTTAGGAATTTTTTTAGGTCAGTTGACATAAAGCAATGATTCTACAGGATACGAGTGATTTATTGTCAAATCACTCATCTTCGTGTATCGAATCCCTTTGGATTGGGTTTGCAATTTCGTTTTCAAATTGTTCATCTTGCTATCTTGTATACACATTTTTTATAGATAGCAATACTTCAGTATAGCTCTCGTGTATCGTTTCTGGTTGCCCCTATAGTTGCGTCTATTTTACTCATATGTCTCTTCCCCTCATATGACGCTGCCAATTTTTTTTCGTAATAAATTTGTTGTATTTTCAAATTTCATAGAATTTGGGAAGACATATCCTTCTTTATTATTTGTATGTCTTCTGCAATTCAGATGAGATTTCCAACCGGTCGTTATAGTATCTAAATTACAGGTAGTCCACAATCTGCGTTTATTACCACTCTTATACCTATTTTCCTTTAGATTTATGAGGCCCCTACCTCATCACTATTGAAATGCTACAAACGCGAATGGGCTATTAATTTGGAGGTGTTTCAATTTAGAACAAACTTCTACTTTTCCCTAGTTTACAATACAATCTATGACTGAGTATCGAGCTGAAAACATTCGTTGTATCAAATCTAAACCCTCAGATAAATTATACAAAAACACTAAGCATAAATGT